TTAAATAGCAGCAGCCGGGTTTAAAATTCTATATATTTCCAAAAATTCCAAAAATAAGTAAAACTTCCACCAAATCTCGAACCCGATGCTTGCAAAACCCAAAAGTTCTCGATTTACGTGGTTAGACCAAAGAACAAAATAGATATGGTAGGGCTGCGGCTACGGATCTACTTGGATAATGAAGAATGACTGTAACTGAAAATATTTAAGATGCGTTAATGCATTTATGCATTTGGCTAGCAACTGTCGAAATTGACTCCATATAATTTCGCAATATGTACTGGAACTTACGGGCACTTCTCTCTACTACTACATGAACTAATAACTCAGCTCTACAGATATCTTATCGGTTAGTACTGTCGATCGCTGTTATTAGTTGCGCACCTTGTAGTGTAGTTCGGATGTAATTATTAGTAAAAAAAGAAATGCCTAGAAATATCGTGCAAAAATACCAAACTTATCCCGCTTTACTGGTTGCCTACCAAAGAAAAAAATATCAATAAATCACCTCTGGGCCAGATCAATGCTATTTAATATTATTTAATACCCAAACATTTATTTTAAAACAAACAACAGTATGTAAGTAAGCAATTTTAATTTTTAATTTTGACGGACGCTTCGAGAATAATTAGGGCACGTTATCCAAAAAATTTTCAACCCTCCAATAAATAGCATTAAGATATTTGTAAATGAACTTTTTTCTAAATAAGAAAATCAATATAACAGGTTTTTATTTATTTATTTTCAAAAATACTAAAAATTTCGTGGCTTGGTAGGGTTTTGCAAAATGAAAAACAGCAATAAGAAGTTTTTACAAATGGTACAATACAAGAGCAATAATGAAGGAAAAATATAAAATTCGATAACTAAATTATTCTCTCTGCTTCAACACTGAAATCTAGCTACTCCACGCCAAATCCATCTACATCTTCCACTATATGTTTACCTGATTTGAAGCTGCCATATAAAGACAGAGTATCTCTCGGTATAAGATGCATCATTTTCTTTAAATTCTTAAGTTTCTCTTCAGAGATTGGCTTATCATTTGGCCACAAAGGCATATAAACATGCTGAATGATTTTAATTTGCGCTCTATATCGTTGAAAAAAATATAAAGAAAGAAAAAAGTCATTTTAATATTTCTGTTTTGGTTAGTTTAGTCAGTTTGTTTTGACCCCCCCATGAGTGGGTCCACAGAATCAGATGCTTCGTTTCTAAGGAAACGTATTTTTGATTGTCCTTTATTATACATGATCCCACTTTTTGAGACTCTCGGTCAGCTTCTCCTTCAACCTAAACGTAACAATATCCGCAGTCTTCTTTACCGCTATCCGTTTATTTGATTTTAAGCTGCTATAAAAAGCCATTGCATCTCCCGGTATAAAAAGCATCATTTCCTTAAACTTCTTAAGTTTCTCTTGAAAGGTTGGCTTATCATTTGGCCACAAATGCAGTAGAGATGTGAAAGGTGAACTAATGGTCCTCTTAGATTTTATTTTTTATTCTTGTACTTTTTGAGACTCTCAGCCAGCGTCTCCTTCGACTCAAACGTAATAATTTCTGCGGTCTCCTTTACCGCTGTGAATTCCGAATTCCTGCATCATATCCCCAGAGCTGCCTTTTATAGAACACAATATTTGTGGGGATTCATATTCATCATTGCCTTTAGTTTTCTCAATGTCTCAATATCTTCTTTGCGCAGTGTCCGAGCTTCATTGGCTAACTCTAAAAGCTGCTATTTACAAAACTTCTGTGTCGGTTGTTGTTGAGTCGAACTTGTTAACAATTGACCAATCATCCTGTTGCTTTCTTCAGAACTTAACTTAACAGTTTCAGTTAGGCCACTTGGATGTCATACCCAGATCGCGAAATTAAGATTTTCCCTTCTGGTGTGTCAACCAAGTGCGTTGAAAGTTTTATGCTAAATTAAAGAGTATGTATTTTTATTCCGTTTTTTTTACGAATGGAATTTTTTAAGGTCTGGAGTCGACATTGGATTGGAAAGATTTTGCAGAAGAAGGAGGAACAGCAGTATTTTGCCAATCCTGCCGGTATACATGTATACATCCGAATATTGGGGCAAGGTAAAATAACTACAAAAAACAGTATCTGTAGGTATTTAGCTTCCCAGGTAGGAAGAAGAAATCAATCAAAATCATAAATTAAGATCGATTTAAAGGAAACTGCCAGTACCCTACTTTACTGCAAATATGAAATATGAAATTACGTCAAATTAAGCACCGTATAAGCTGATATCCAGTTTCAGTTAGGCTCTGAAGAACCCAACAGGATGATTGGCGAAACGTCAGCAAGTTCAATGTTTCGTAAACCCGTATATGAGTTCTTCTTTCTTTCGTGCCCGTATATTTACTCAAACATCTTCTCAACAAAGCCGCGACGTCGTAGCTCAAAGCAACACGTTATTAATATCTTTCAATGGGTCCCTGGCGAACTCCCAACTACAGGTGTTATTAAAATATCGATTTTATTGGAGCTTTATTCGCTTTGTGGGAGGTTCATTGAAGCGAAAACTTTGTCGGCAAACAGGGTGTCGTATGATCGAGCCCTGCCGCGTCTATGACTGAGCACCGATACGTCTGAAATTCAACGCCGATGTTATGGATTCCGACCTATTAACTCACTGCCACCGTAATCGATTTTCTCGACTCCCTGTACCGATATCGTAATTAGTCAATCGACAGTAATGCGATACGCGAACATAACGACGGCGATGGCGAAGAACTTTAGATAAAGATAAAGATAGCTATATTTCTTGAGACTTGAGTTACAAGTGTTGGATATTGTTAAATGAATATAAAAATATAAAATTAATAATAATAATAATAAATAAAGTGCGGGAAGCGTCACTTTACCAAGTCAGTTTCGTTTCCCACGGATCCGAGCCACTTCGGACATTTTCGGGATTTTACGGAACGGTTTTCGGAGATATTTCCCACGCTTTGAATTTTGACGTTTGTCAATTCTGACGGTCATGTCAGTGAATATATTGCAACACGTTCGGTAAACTTTTTAAGGCACTCGTTTAATAAACACTCGCTTCGCTCATGTCAAATAAACTCGTGAGTCAAATGCCGTTTACCGAACTTGTTGCATAATATACTATTCTGTATCCAAAAGATTTTCTCCGCAAATCAGGAACTTCCCCAACAAACCAAGGCATAGTTGAGACAGGAATAGATATAGGAAAAATAGAACATTTTTAACTAGAGGAAAGAAACCTGAAAGCGCAGCCTCCAAATGACAAAGCTGTAAACAGACAATTTTTTGAGAATGTGATCAACCTGTTCGAACCAGCAGAGTCTCGAGTCTACATAAACTCCAAGGAATTTTACTCTTTCCTGTTGGATTGTGCTTTCATTGAGGCGTACTAATAAACTTTTATTTAAATCCCGTGTTGAGAAGGCGATCATTTTAGTTTTACTTTCATTTAACATCAGTTTCTTAATTTATCTTTCATTTGCTCAACTGTTGTCTTGGTTTCAATGCTAAGTTGCCCAGACGATGCTACAGAAAGGGTAGCAACTGCATCATCCGCAAAAAGGGAATATTAAGTATAGCGGAAAGATGAAAACACACTATGAACAATAAACGTCCTAGTAAATTGCCTGCCTAAGGTATCTCACAAATTGGCCAACTGCGTACGACCCCCAAGAAAAGACCTTATCAGATGTAAAAAAAATTATAGATGTATCATTTGCAGGAATTATATTATAGAATGTTTGTTCATAATGAGAAGGTGATTGTTTTTGTAGCGATAGTTATTAATTTTTTGTAACTGAAAATAATTTTCTTTACTTCCGTGGGCAACCGCGAACGCACAAAAAAACCTTAACAAATCATCGAAAACGACCAGAGTCCACCCCTGACTTTAGTGAGCAAGTTCTTTTGGTTGTACGGTATGACTGTAGCTCGCAAATTCTAATACTTCAATAAATGGATTTCATGGGTAACTTCCGATCCATAACAACGCTCCATTTACTTCCGGTTGAGTTTTCGTTTGTAGACTTACTATCCTACTAGCTCTAAGCAAATTTTTAAAATACTAATGAAAATAAGATCTGATTATTTTCTCTGAAATTGCAAATATATTCTATTTACAAATCTTCTAGATTCCCCTTGAGTCAGCTGTTGATGAATCAAATTCGATGGCTGTTGAGTTCTTCAGAGCTTAACTGAAACTGCACCTACTTATATATTGTTTTTTGGGGGGTTCGGACCTTAAAGATGTCTGTCTCAGATGACTAATCCCCATATTGGTTAATGACCTGAGCTGCGGTTGTGCAATTGTTGGGTTCATTATAAATTTCTATAGATTCTCGGATTTTTTTGGTAGAATGACGGATGATGATTTTATTTGTCGTAGTCTTAAGGCTCTTTCATGTTCTTTGAGCCTAGTTGATATTTTTTTTGCCGCATATGTACCTCAAACGAAATTTTGTCTTTGACGGATTGAAGATGTTGAGAGATTTGGACAAGAGGTAAACCTGGTTTTGATGTTATATATTTTGAGAAATTTTAATATGTGGTCCGTGACGATTTGAATGTAAAGATGCTCAACAATGGCGAGTGTGGGATACCTTTCGAACTCATTGTCTTTGGAAGGTTGTGGTAAAGTTATTTTGTGATGGAACGCTTAATATCTCTAATGTGTAAAGGGCTTTCTTTTCAATAAATATATATTGGCTATAACTGGCCATAATGGAGAAACCATAGCTGTTCCCGACGTTTGTTCAAAAATTTGATCGTTATTTCGGATTTTCAATTTTAATATACCTAACCACAAAGAATCCAGAAGTTTCTTTGAAAAAAAGTGTCTTTATAATCATTATATAATTATAATTTTTAGGAAAAGCTTTAATATTTCAAAATTTCAAAATTTAAAATTTAAAATAAATATAAAATGGAAATTTTTTACATGAAATTTAGATCACTAAGAGATCGTAAACTTTATTTCAAAACCAATTAAGTGCTCTACTCACCCGATATCCATGTTCCGTTGAACCTCAGCGGTTGAAACTCGTGATTTAGAATGTCGTGAAGTTCGAATCTGGCGCCCTTAATCCTCGGTCCTTCGTCCGGAGGAGTCAAAAGAACTACCGATGTGACGATGAGGGCCAGGACGACCACTATTACCAGTAACGCGATAAAGATACCGCGCCAGTTGCGCTGGGTGGTGTTCGTGGACACCAGCTAGAACAAAAACAGAAACCACTTGAAATAAATCAACCATTCGTTAGCATCGATTCGATTCGATTCTTTTAAAAGCCAAAATGTGTATATAAATATACAGAAAAGCTTTGCTTCAAAAATAATACACCACTGGCTTGTTCTTTTGATTTCTAATTTAACTAAAATAATTACAAAAAAAAACTTTGCCACGAGAATTAAAAGGCAAAAAACTTGATGATGAACTTATGAGCAATTGGTTAATTCAATTCATAACGCAAACATTTTTTTATTATGCAAAATCTAAATGAAAAAAAAAGAACTAAAAGTTCAGATTTTCACGAAATTATATATTGTCACATGATATTTGTTTCTACAACACCGTGTCTTTATCAAATGTAATATTTACAAACCAAAAATGACGATAAAACCTTAATTAATGTTGTTGTGAGAATTTAAGTTCAATGACGGAGAGGTACATACATTAATACAATTGAATGTCTCATTTTGTTAATCTCCATGGCTTCCAATAAATTTAGTTTTCTACTTTTTGTGGCTATATATAAAATATCAAAATTAAAACAATTACATACATAGGAGAACCCAGTGAAAAAGTTTCCAAATGAGGAAAAAATTATGAAAATTTATAAACTATTTAATGGAGATACAAATAAAAATAAAATACGACTTAACCAAAACATATCAACAAAATGATAAATAGGAAGTTTAATGAATATTTTATCAACGTAAGAGGAAAAATTGCTGCTGAAATAGAGTAGCCTAACTCTCACATAACAAGAAAAGAAAAAAGTATACGATGAATGTTTTTAATTACAGTCACGGCAAAAACAACAATTGTGCTCCAGGATACTACAAAATTACTTCAAAAATCGTATATCCTATATGTCATATATTAATAATGATATTTGCGTCTGATAATATACCAGTTTAAAAGTTCTATGCTATCACCTATATGTACTAATTATAGACCAATTAGTGTAAGATCAAATTAAAGCAAAAAGGCGTTTGACACACATGAGCAATTAGTTGATATACTTGAAAAGTATGGAATCCGTGCCATTGTGATAGACCTCAATTTACAATAATAGGAAAGATTTTGAGTGACCAGAGCTTTGTCAAGACAAGTATACCGCAAGGAACTGTGCTAGGGCCTCTATTATTTAATGTATATATAAATGAATTAGGAAAGCAAGACGCGGGAGGCAAGGTTATTTCCGATGCGGACGATACAGTAATTGTGGACAATTGTAAAAATGTTTTTGGACACTTTGAAACGATCCGTTAGTATAAATAAGACTAAATATGTAGCCTTTTCTATAACAGGGAAAAATCGTGCCAACTTTTCAGAAATATATATTGACATTTTAGCAGAACCAATTAACTAAATTAATATTTGCGAGTGATTGTTGATGAAAACGTGCCCAAATCAAAAGAAAATCAGATCTTTATTGAATACGTTTTCTATGTTGTCATGTTAGGAGAATTTGTCTCTAAAAAACTGTCACACTTATTGATAAACTATTATATTAACCGAGGGTGTTAGTGAAATAACCTCACAAAAATATATTTTTTTTAATTTTCATGAAAATACTTGCGGAACACACATACACAATAACTTTTAGAATTTGCAAATGATAAACCAAAACGAGAGCCTAGATACTAAAACATTAGCATTTTTTGCAAGTTTGAACATAATTATTTTAATTTGTAAAGCTATAAAAACTGTTCAAAAGTACACCATTTTCTTCAACGCTAATATTAAATTATTTTGTATTCTTTATTTTAAATGATTGTCTTTGTATTTAGGTTCTTGTTTTGGTTTATCTCTTTTATTAGTATTTAGGTATGCCCATTTGCTAACAACAAAACAGACCAATTGCAGATTTCTAGCTTTTTCCTATTGTAAGTCAATTTATATTGTTTAATTTTAAGGATGGTACTTTGTTGTGTAATTGTATCTTTGTTATTGCCAAAAAGTGTAAGGCTCAACTTATTTGCATTTATTTCCCGTCCAAATAGTCACTTGCACAAATATGATCTGAACAGTTCTAACATATACAGGGTGTCCCAAAACGAATAGATGATAGAGTACCATCATATTCTTTGTATCAAAATATTTCGATTTGTCATAGAAACTAACGTCAAAACTTAGGGAAACTAAAGTCGAAGGATTTACAGAGTGAAAAAAGTAATTTTATGTTTTTTGTTAATCGCTTTCATAATTTAAAAAATATAGTCTTAAATATTCGCATCTGAGGGTTGAGAAATTAGATGATTTAATCAGATTTGAAATAGCTTGTGGGTGGCGCCAACTGCACACCTGTTTATTGATTCTTTCTAAACCACTGATTTAATATAGCAAAACAAACATAAATTATGCCAATCTATTCATTTCTTATAGAAATGGTCGTACAATTCTTTGCTGTTTACTAAGGTCTGTTATGAAAATTAAAAAAAAACTTCTAAGGGTAGCATCAGCTTGGCCAGTAAAAAGCAAAGATCTTCATTTTGCTGATTTCAAACAAAAGTAGACAAAATTGTTCTTGCTTGCAGATCAACAGTCAGCAAATGCTGCCAGCTTTATTGTTCTGAGCACTGACTAGTAACACCACTTAACCGACTCATACTTGTTTGATTTCTTCTTCTTGATTCAGTACGATATTTCCTAGACGTCCTCCACTGTGCTCTTTTTGACGAATAGATCCTCAAGCTTCAAAACGGTCAAGTGCACCACGATCATTATAATTGCATTAATCTATATAATTGCATTTTAAAATTGTGAAAGTGAACGAAAGAATAAAATTACTTTTACAGTAATTATTCACTTGACTTTAATGATAATAATAATAATAATAAACATAATCATAATATTCATAATAATTGACAATGGCAACCCGGAGGGCGTACTGCGATAATATATAACGAGTGTGTTATATATGTAATAATCAAAGATAACAAGAAAAGAACATCTAAGTTGATAGCAACATCGCATTTAAACAAGCTGAAAAGTTTTTAAAATATGAGACCTCTCCATCGAAATCTCCAGGATGTGGAACGTAAAGGTAGAAATGATACCAATAATAGTAGGCGCCCTTGGAACATGTTTTAAAGAACTGCAAAAACGTATCCACAAACTGCCGCAATCAACTATTAGTCTAGGGGACTGCGCACATATTGAGTACGTTACTAACTTGCTGAAACTCGGGTTTTAAAAAACCTAGCCTTGGTCGGCAACTTCACCAATAATTCTGATTTTCTCCACATAAGATAACCAGCTATATCAACAACCGACGACGGAAGACCCCGAGAACTGTTGTGGAACGTCATATAGTAATAATAATATTTATTCTCCCACAAAATTGTATAGAGTATTCAAAATAGATGCAACGGACATAAAGAGATTATTTACTCAAAAAAATTTGTCTACACTATAAAATGTTTTGAATAACAAAAACATTTTTAATTGTTTTTTAAATAGACGTTTTCAATGTTTGTTGAACTACAATTGCAGATTGTTAAAAATCCGAACAGCTGTACTGGACCAATAAACCGTTACAAGATATAAACTTATTTGTTATAAATTGAGCAACTGTTGCCTAGTTAAAATGTCACGAATATTTATAAAAATATAGTTTTTACTTTTTAGAGTTGAAATAAGAGTATAACAATGAGACTTCCAATTTAAACATTCATCCAAACGCAATCCTAGTAACCTTACACTATTCCTACTTGAGGAGTCATTGCCTAAGTAGATATTGAGAGTTATAAAAGCTTGGAGTTTGGGTTTTGCATGCTTTGAAATATAGATTAGCTTTTCCAAACCATAGTGTAGATCTATAGAGTATCCTACAGCACTTCCCTAAGAGATCATCATCATTTCCACACGACAACACCAAGGGAAGATCATCCGCACACATCACAAAAAACGAATTAGTTAAAATTTTCAATGTACAATTTTCATATAATATGAAGAGCGCAAGACCTAAAACCCAACCTCGAGGGACACCCATCTCTGTCCGTTGACTGACTGAATTTACATGTTCCATTCTCTCACCTTTGTAAAACTTAGGGCATACAAATTGAGAACGACGCTCTAGCGTGCAGAGTTTCCCCAGCTTCCGTAAAATCAACACAGTCACTATTTTCATATCGAAATATTTTGATACAAAGAAAATGCTGGCATTCTATGGCCAATCCGTTTTAATTTGATTTAATACATTAAGTTTGAAGTTTTAATTCAGCAAAAGCAGCGATATCTATCAAATCTTAAATTATCATTGCGAATGAAAACCCAAGTCTGCTCTAGAAATAAAACAATTAATATAAATATAATCTTATCCGCATCCGAAAACTTCTGAGCGGCACTAAAGTCGGACGGTGCTGGTTTTTTGCCCGAATTCTCGAGGGAATTCAAGACGAAACCATTAATCCAAATCCCCCATGGTAGTTGAATAGGAGTGTTTAAGATTTCATAATATCCTGCGCGAGAAAAACTGCATGCTTGTTGGGCATCGTAACAAGTTTTGCTCGGTACGCCCCTGATTCCTCGTTCCAGTCTCTGAGCTCGTTATTCAGTTTCGGACCGCGAGTTTTCGTCTAAGAAAATCTGATAAACGTCAAAAGACATGAGGTTTTTGTTTCAAAAGTACCGCAGGATTGCAAGGCTCGATGTGGGATATCTACAAGTTCCGACTTCGGATTTGAGTTAATTAAAATTGTCTTGGTGGGTCGTTAAAATTTGCATTGGTTAGCATAAGTATGGCATCCTGCACGCGAAAACCACCACTTTTTTTCTATTTTTATTCTCGTCTGTTGATTATCGGCCATTTTGAAAAGTTGTTGACGAAGCCTGTTCTCCATCTGCTGTCTCTTCATCTTAGTTACTTGTCGTTGAATACTGTCGAGGAAAATGGTGGCTATTCCTCTTCGAAACGTCTTCATGTTATTAAAATAACGAAACGCTAAATTTACAATTTACATTTGGATAAGAACATTACTACGTCAGATGTAGACTAACTCAAATTAAATAAATACACCACAAAAACAAGATTGCTTTCGCAATCTTGTCGCTGCGCGATGCGACTGTGTTTAAAAGAACCCGCTTCGCCACCATGAGACTTTCGCAAAATGGATATAATTTTGTTGTGCATGCACCCTGTCTACAGTGTCTTCAAAGTTACGGCAAATTTTGATAAATATAAAAATTTGTTCAAATAGTAGCGATTTAAAATGATATTTTTCCAAATATCTCGCACACCCTGTTTGAGAGACGAAACCTGAAACTCTCTATCGATACAGATGTTTTATAGTTCCACCAAAACGGAAATTTTCAAGGTCACACAGCCTGTCCGGTGGTAGATGGAACAAGGCTACACTTCTCCAGGGAAGTAAAATATTTAGGAGTCATATTTGACCAAAAACTTAACTGGAGAGCGCACATTCAAAAGATCACGCTTAGCACAACAATTGCACTAGGTAGATGCAGAAGAATGCGTGGAAAGAACTGGGGCTTAAACCCAAAAATGACACTTTGGTTGTATCTAGCAGTATTGAGACCAATGCTAGTCTATGAGGCGATTGTCTGGTGGACAAGAACCATGCAGGGAGAGGCGATAAGGCGGCTGAGTAGCGCGCAAAGACTAGCGAGTCTGTGCGCTACGGGGGCCATGAGCACAACGCCCACTGCAGCACTGGAGGTCCTACTGAACACCCCACCAATACAGATCTATATACAAAGGGAAGCAAGATCCGCAGTATATAGATTACTGCAAGGACAGTCTCCAATAATTGGTGGACGTAGCACGAAACATAACAAGCTTTACTTGGAGGTAAGAGCGGACAATGACCTACGGACAGCACAACACCAAAGTATTGTATGTATTTTTAACCACTACAGGACTCAAGTCCCAGCCAGAGAAGACAGTGAAAACGGGCCACCAATCAAGGCGGATATATTCTGGTATTCTGATGGCTCAAAAACTCAAGAAGGAGTAGTAGCCGGAATATATGAACCCAGGACGAAAAGGAAAATCTCTATTCCAATGGGTAAGCTAGCGACAGTGTTCCAATCAATTGAAATTTACAGCGATAGTTAAGCCGCTATAAAGGCCCTGCAATCTAATGAAATAACATCCAAGTTATTTCTGAACTACCATAAGGCATTAAACGAGATAGCAAGCCCGAACAAAGTTACTCTATCATGGGTACCGGGGCACGGAGGGCATAAAGGTAATGAAGGCGCAGACGACGCACCCCGCGATGGGTCGTCAATGCGCCTGATTTGACCAGAACCCTTTTGTGGGGTGGCCAAACCCGTTGCAAAAACAGCCATCAGGGATTGGATGGACCGAGAATCTCGACGATGGTGGAGGGACATGCCGGGGCAAAGACAGGTCAAGGAATTCCTAAGGGGCCCATCGGCCAATTTTACAGCGGACCTACTAAGCTACAATAGTAAAGCCGTAAGAATAATGGTAGGTCTGCTGACGGGCCACTGCAGGCTTAAGAGGCATCTAAGCCTGATAGAAGTGGAAGAAAACACAGAATGTAGATTCTGTCAGGAAGAGGAGGAAACAGCCGCAAACGTACTGTGCCACTGCGAAGGCCTAGCGAGAGTGCGTTTCCATCTGCTGGGCGATACCAAACCAGAGGCAAAGAGCTATACGAAGCAGTCATTATCGATGTTGTGGAGTCTGGTTAAAAAGACGAACCTGGATAAAGCTCTATAGCTATGGAGAGAGTCATAATAGATCTTCTGGGTCCCAGTGATGGACAGGCTGATTGCTTACTGAAAAACAAAGATAAAGGTGGTAACCTGGATCTCCCACATTTCATAGTAAGTGTTTTTCGGCAAAATATTTTTTTTCTGAAACCATGCAGTACGCCGTAATAGCAAATGCCCTTATCACGTCTATACTGACTTTTTCAAATATCTCGAGCAGCGTACGCGGTAGACAAAAACCGTAAAGTCGAAAATTGTATTTTTTCATTTAAGGCTAATAATTTAATCTCGAAACGAACAATTTTTACAGTCTCTTATATTTTGTTCTATTACTAAAGCTCGCTGTATATGCCTAAACAAAATTCGAAAATTCTTAAAAAATAGTTTGCTTAATTCGATTGCATGCAACCTGAAGCACGGAATATCCGGAACACCTTTAGAAGCACTAATAACAATAATCCTCCCCTGCTTTGTGTGCGGTTAGAATTTTGGAACGACACTCATTATCTAATTCGTAACGTTTTCTGCTTTTACTTATTTTATTTATATCTAAAAATGAATTGATGAATAAATAGAATAATTCTATATTCTATTGTTTTGAAAACAAATAGGATTAAAAATAAAAGACGTTTTTCTTTGCCTTGCCTTCTCAACATAAGATTAATGGACTTGCTTCGCTTTTATATTTGAAATAGTATTTTTATTTTTTCCTTTTTTTCCATGCTGTACTCAATTCATTGCGTTTTTTCTTTTAATTTTTCCGCTTTCTTCTGTATCGTTAACTAAGCTTTGCACATTATTAGTGCAATTCTTAAGACGACACTGTTTTGGGTTCAACATGTTTGCGCCTCAAAGAGCAAATAAATAAATAAATAAATAAATAGTAAATAAAACAAAAGTAAATCATGTTTGGTTAGTTTACTGCAGTTTGGCGAATACAGTTCAATAAGAATTTAAATTCCGTGTTCTTCCTTTATGAAACAGTCCACAGCACTTTTGATAGTGTCCATTATTTCGCTCTTCTGGACGAGACACTTTCGCATAATGGCGGCTATTCTGGGCATGTTCGGGGCGTTGATTACATCTTTAAGCTCCTCTTCGAAATTGTCTAGGTTAACGGTGCCGTCTTCGGTCATAATTTTAGCTTTCTTCGCGGCGCAAAACAAATGTTCGTAGAAAGCGTCATCGTCGGGTATTTGACCGTCCAGGGCAGCGACGAAAGCTTCTTCGTCTACACCGTGTACGTCTAAACACTCCGAATGGAAATCTATAATCTTACGTCGCTGCTCGTCCGCTATGACCTAACGGAAACAACCAAATGGATGATTTGCAAATTAACTTGTTCTATGGCGTCCCTCCATATAGCCATTAGAGATGTAGACAACCTGCTTATAAAGCCGCCAAGAAAAAAAATTACCCTAATAGCTAAATCAGTCACCCACTCAATATTTCATTTTTTTAAAATTCCTTTTATATTAATAAGCGCTGTCCCAAGTCGAATTTCGGTAAACGGAATCTCATTTATAGTACAGAATTTTATGGTTAAAATAGCAGATTAAAAAAAACCGTATCGTACGTTAGGATTTTGATTAATTTGAATTTCGAATTCTCAAGACGTATTTAAGTTATGTCACCAAAATTTGCATAAGCAATGTTTTACACTTCAATTTTAAAAGAAAATCTTCCCGCTTAATGCGGGGTGACCAAAAATATATTCTAATCTAATAGGAGCTTTAAGCTTTCAACTATTCCCACTTATCACATAACATTATTTAACTTACCAGAGGATGCCAATTTTAACTAGTCATTACGGTTTCCTAAATTCTTTATTTCCTTGCTACATCTGATGCTCTGTGATATTAAGATATGTCAGAAAATTAAATGAAGCTGTCAATTTGGTCTAGCTTTCATTTAAAATTAAAAAATTAAAATTACATTTTATAGCTACATTGTTCACTTTCTCTCATTCTTTATATTTTTCGACTTTTTGCAATGGTTAAATTTATTATTATTAGATGTTAACAATTTTAAAAATGAATATAATGCAACAATCAGGTACTCCAAATAACACCATTGATAACAATAAACACGCCTAAGGTTTTTCCAAGTTTTCTTATACTTTCAAAGCAATTTACCTTCCAGGCTATAACGACAATTAACCCATTAAAAGTAAGAAAAATCAAGGATGACCCATTACTAAAGCCTCAAACCTCTAAGACGCTTTTTCCATGAACATATGTGCTAAATTGATTTGTTTTCTAGATACCGAGTGTCAAAGTTTTAATAAAAATCTGATTTTCATTAATTATTCAAAAGCCTTTTCTACGAATTTGATTAAAAAAAAAGTGTTAACTAAAGAGGCGTCACAGACAGTAATATCTAACTGCTAGTTAGGAAAAATCATTGCGCACCACTGCTTTTTTGAATGTTTATTTTTTTTTTAAATTAGTCAATTTAAGAAACATTTTTTTTATATCTTCAAGTTTTTTCGTAACCTGCTTTCTTTTGGAGAGGAAAAATAAAAATTGTTTCACTGCATGTCCCTGGAGATTAAAAATCATCCGAGCAAAAATCTTTTTACTCAATATGTGCACCATGCTAAGACAAATAAAAATAATTAAAATAAATAAAGAAAATAAATTTGATTACTCTCTGTGGCGCCACTGGGATTAACACTTTTATTTTAAGTACGTTAAACGGGGTCCTTTATTACTGTAAATTAAAAACGTTTTTGAATAATTAATAAAAAACAAAGTTTAAATGAACACTTTACATATACGGGGTCTCAGAAAAACAAATTAAGTTAGGACATATAGGAAAAACTCTTATTTTTACCTGAAAAACTGATCCTAAACATTTGACGGGTTAACTCCGGATAATCCTATATAATAACCATCCCACTTTCAACAATAAAGAAAAGCATCGTCAATTTAGCAAGAAAGAGGACCATTTGGTCCTCAATCAAAAGCAACTGAATTTCCAATTAGATTAGAATAATTTCTTTTTGGGAGAAAGTCTTATTTTTCATGAGCAAGCCATCTTAAACTTTTGACGGTTTAACTCTGGAGACGTCATCAATTTATCAATTTGATACTTATTCAAAAAGTATATATACTTGAACTGCATTTCCAATTAGATAAGAATATCTTTTTTTGGGAAAAAGTCTTATTCTCACATGAGAAACCGATTTTAACGGTTTGACCCTGGAGAATCCTAAATAATAACCATTCAATGTTCGATACATTAATTTAGTAAAAAATTTTGTAAAAAAAAAACCATTTGGTACTTAACCTAAAAGCATATATGCTTGAACTCCATTTCAAATTAGTTTAGACTTTTTTTTTTTTTGGGAAAACGACTTATTTTTACATGAGAAACCGACCTCAAACGGTTGACGGTTTAAGTCTGGATACATCATCAATTTATCAATTTCATACTTAATCAAAAAGTATATATACTTGAACTGCATTTCCAATTAGATTAGATTAGAAGTGTTTTATAATCGAGATGTAAGATTTGGTTTGTTATTACCATTAATTGCAAAACTATATCACATGAAAAAATTTAAATTATTTAAGAAAATCTAAGGTTAAGGCATCATAAACCATATTAAAAAATTACCACAAATTTTGATACTTGGAATGAGGAATTTCCTCTGTAAATAAATAAAAAAAAATTGTGATGGGATTCAAGCCATTATCCAAATATGTTCGATAGGGGACCGCCAATTCAATAGAAAAAAAATGTTTCAATAACTTTCTTATCCAAAAAAACAATTTTAAATAATATTAAAAAAGAATCAGAGAAGGATTGTTTTCTACAAACAGTACAATTTAAGAATACGATTTCATCCCCGCATTAACTATTTGCGAAAACTAATACTTACGCCATGAAACGCAAGGAACGCAGAAGCCAGAACCACGCAGACAACTTTGAAACTCGCCATTCTCAGTTTTTGAGTGCGAAAAAATCAACTGGACAGGACGCGTCCGGTGGGTTTGTTTTATTGTTAATCAGCTAAGCGGTAATTATAAATCGAACGTACTTAATACATGTATTTAAAGATTTTCCGTGAACCGGAGGACGTTAACTAGAGTTTAATTATCTACGTATCGGTAGACGTCTGTACCAAAGGAAACGGCATTTCTTTGATCGCATATGATTTAAACGTCACTTCAATAGGATTTAATGAACAGGAAATTCATAGTTTAAATGAAAACATTCGGAATGATAGATCCTGTTTTTCTCTGTATTGCATTCATGTTACACCCGCGTGTCCAGAAACGCAAGTAATATTAAATAGAATGCTACTAAACGATAGCAAAATTTGAAGAGGCTTATTTTCGTGGAATCAAATAAAATTGGTTCACTAAAATACGATACAGCGCCGTATTTAACGAGTTTGGAGTGATACATAGAGGAGATATAATAAGAAATTTTCAAAGTAGGGTGTAGTAGATACCAATTTCTACAAGTCAAGCAACGAGAATATTATATGTACAGGGTGAGTCAACGAGAGAGTATCATTGGTTTCAAAAGTTCCAAAATACGAAAAAAATGAAGATTGTTAGGATGTACAATTTAAAATTGATTTGGAGTATACAGGGTATACAGTTTTTCCAATATCCTAATTTTTCTAAAATTCATATTATTGGATAATTTTAAATTAATGTGATACAAAAAATGCGTTTTCAATTTTTTTTCGAATTTAAAATTTGGTTATTATTTTCACCAAAATTGCTAATAACTGTCTGTTGCTTGATCTAGGTCTCCAGCGCAGTTCTTTCTCCTGTTCTTTTTTAATCTAATATTTTTGATCGCAAAGTATTTAAAATAGGTATATTTATATAGCTATACTTAATAAAATCTGGAGGTTTTTGTAAGATATTTCAGAAAAATTATTAATATATATGGTTTGCCATTTAAGAGAATCGAGATTTTTCAATTTAAATGAGGCATATATATTCCTTTATTTTAAATACACTGTCGCATCTAATTCAAATCCCGTTGCATACACTTTTTACTATCTTCAAAAGTAATAGCGCCATGGTAATTTCTCTTATTTTATTATGTATTTATTATTTTAGAAAAATTGAAATATTGGAAACGTTATAAGCTTTAGGTACCTAATATTATTAATAAAAAAGTTCAAGAATTTCAAAACGAATTTTAAATCAAAATTTAAAAATAAGGTGTTTTAAGAAAATGTATGATTTATTCGCAGTTTTCTGAGCCACCCTGTATTCTTTAAAATAATTTTAAATTGCACACCCTAACAATGTTTACAACTTTTGTATTTACCATTTTCTCACAATTTTTGAAGCCAATGAGATAATGAACTTTAGTCTCTCGTTGACTCACCCTGTATAGTGTGGTCATTTCAGTGTGCAACATATGGATTTTTTTTTACAAGCTGCTCAACTAAATACTAATATTTTCAAAAGTTTTTGCATTAGGTATTAGGTGCAATTAAAATGTTTACAAATCACACAGCACACAGGGTAAGGCAAAAAATAACAAAATTGCACAAGGGTAAAGTCCGCTTATATCAAAAACTGAGCAAAAGTTGTTTAGAATTAAGAGCTCTGCTTTAATATCAAAACAGGGCCTACTAAGAACGTTTGAAAAATATTAATTATAGTACAGTCGCAAATTATTCAAAACCAATTCAATTCCGCAAATTTTTGTTTTGTTTTATGAAATTATCTAAGATTTTTATTTTTTAGTTAATCAAAAATGTTGTGTTTGCTGCAACGATATTTAATGACACTTAAAAATTTAATAAAAATTAGATTAAAGTAGCCAAAGCATTGCAAATTATATCGTCACTTAAACAGGGTAATTTTTATTTTAAATTTCTGATAGAAAACCGTAGGTACAATTAATTGACAGATATAAAAATCCTACTAAAATAATCAGGGATATCCATGATATAAGGATATGAGACTTTGAAATAAACATTATGACAGGCGACATTGATTGTTATTGTCAAATAATAATTACTTGATCATTAAGAAATTGTACTACACATGCCTCTTCTAAAACATTATCTGAGGAATCAGAGTCAATTTTTGATATGTGGGGAATATTATACACTCGCGCGTGAAATAGCTGACATCTTCAACGGACCACAACCAGATCAAGAAATTTTAACTTATTTAAAACAGGCAGGATCTTTAGAGTCTCAAACAAATCAATCAATCTATATGTAATTAAAAAAAATCATTAAAAGTACTTCAAAGAATTACCAACCACAGAAGATCCACCCAAGGCAGTTCGGATTATATGAATTAAACAAAAAAACTCTGCTGAGAATACTCTCAAAAAAATATCACTCCTATAAACCAAAATTGACTTGCACATTTCACCAAGGGGTTCAATGACAAATTAAAAATCTCTTGTTAAAATTGTAGGTGGTCCGATGACAGGACAAGAGAGAGGGTGCATCTACCAAGTGCCTTCTGAAGGCTGTTGAAAGATTAAATGCAAAAAACACACACGGAAGGACTGGTATAGCAGAGTATGTTTGGTCGAACAACAAGAAATAGAGAAAGAGAGAGAGATAGAAGGGGTGCGTCTATGAAGTATCTTATGAATGGGTCATGAAGAATAATGATTCCTTTTTTAAGAGGTACGTCAGAAAAGATCCCGCGAATGGAGAAAAAATATATAATCAAAACAACCTTTAAGTTAGAAGTGCCATGAGCAAAACCATGCACAGGACAAGAGAGAGAGAGAGAGAGAGTACATCTACTAAGTGCCTTCTGTAGAGTGTGGAAAGATCAAAGGTCCTCTGAGTACACGACTTGAGGAATGCAAGAAACGCACACGGAAGGTCTGGGATAGCAGAGTATGTTTGGTCGAACAACAAGAAATAGAGAAAGAGAGAGAGGGGGTGCATCTATCAAGTATCTTGTGAATGCGTTGGGTTGACCAAACGTCGTCTCGTGTACAACTCGAAGAAATATACACGGAAATGTGAAATAATGACTTATGGAACAGCAAGCCGTGTCACTGGAAGAAGAGCAAATTTAAAGGTGCTCTCTTTATACCACGTTTTCACCGACCGAAGCGTAATATATCCAGGATTTTCCAACCATTGGAAGGTTGACCATCCCTGACTACGAGTCAATTCGGCCATGGTTGACCAGCTCAAACTAGTTTTGATTCTGTAAAAATAAGGACAATGGAAATTCGTAGTCCTTGTCAATCGGGAGAAAGCTCTGGATTGGACAGAAAAAACATACTGTTTAGACTCCTGTATGTTTTATTGCATCTCAACGATTTATCACAACGTTACATCTTACAAACCGTGCTCTTCTCGGTAGAAACAATCGACCGAGTTTCTGATGGTTTCCATGATGGAGTCCCTTTGGATGAGGCATTTCCGTATAATGCCGGAAACCCTGGCCATGTTGTGCGGGTCGATGACGTCTTTCATGTTCTCTTCGAACAAGTCTACGGTGACGGTACCGTCGTCGTCCATTACTTTTGCCTTTTTGGCTGCGCAGAATATGTGCTCGTAGAACTTGTCGTCGTCGGGTACGGTTCCTTCCAGGGCTTGCACTAGGACTTCGACCTCGACACCGTGCATGTCCAAACATTCCTGATGCCAGTCGATAACCTTTTTCCTTTGCTTCTCGTCGACCGGGGCGGTACTTACCTAAAATATCCCATCCCAACAACCATCAGAATAATGCAACTTATAGTCCTATCAAGTCAAATGCTACACAAATCATATACCCGTACAATGGCTGCTTTTAAATAATGGCAAGTTTCGAGTTCGAAGACTGCTTTGAATGAGATGCAATAACGTTCTCTAATTTATATTTGGGAACATGGCGCAATACAGCAATTTTTCAAAATGTTTAACTTTTTTTACAATAATATTGGTCTTATTTTCATTCAAAACCAAGGACTGAGAGGTAGATCTGCTTGTCACTAGAAAATGATGACTTGAGTAATGTAGTGTTATAAAAAATCGTCAAGTACAAAATAAACGCGTTTTTTTAGATAAAGATCAAACGTATGGAAAGCTTCACTGACGTTAAAAATTTGCGTGAAAAGTTACTTAAATATATGTATATAATTTCGAGAACCTTTGATAAAGTAAGTAAAATACTGATAGGATGAATACTGAACTGCTTGGGATTCTTTTTTTTTCGGGAATAGGAGCTAATATTGGGTAATAATAGCTGGAAAAGCGAGTGCAACCATTATGGAGAGTTCTTCAAATTAAAAAAAAAGCCGGGAGAATTTCTGTAAAACCGAAATATTATAATATAAAGAAATTGTATTTTTGTTCATGATAAGCTTATACTGGGTGTGTGGAAATAATGTTCGAACAAATTTAGGCAGAGGATATTCTATATGAAAGTCTGGAAATAGATGGTTTTCAAACTCTAGGGTGTCAAACTATTAACAAATATTTACTGGACTTTAGTTAATGCACATTAAAGATAACGAAAAACCGATTTTTTTGGCAGTTAGTGAAATGAATTAAATTGGTTTAGATGTTTTTTTTTTCAAAAATATAGCAAAATACTTGAAAAAATCGATAGAAAAAAAGTTCAAAAGCCTTCATAATTTTAATATAGTTTATCCTAAAGAACCCTATCAAATTTCAAAAAAATCGGTATAGGAATATTTAAAATATTTATTTAAAACCAATATATATCAGCGTTCGTATGAAAAAAACATCTTATTTTTTCATTTAGAACAATCTCTTAAATTTTTGGAACGTTGTTTGCTAGTGCAATAAATGTTTTAAACCGAATTCAAATATATATTAATTTGAATGCGCTTTCTTCAAAAGGATTTTGAAAAGTTAGATTATTATAAATTTTATTTTTTACAAATTTTATATAAAGCGGTTTGATCACCAAATAACAATGTGTAAATAGTATCTGTCAGAATATACAGGTAAATAAATATATAAATAAATAAACGAGGTCACCACAATTGTCTGATTTATGCAAATGAACAAGAGAAAGACAACAATAACTAGTAATCTTTTTCTATTGCCCCCCTTTGAGATCGAGTTAACAAGAAACAAAAATTGGGGGTTGTTTTGAGCGGTGATTATCAGCAAAACTAAAAAAAATTGATTCGGGCAAAGATTTTGGTGTATGAAGGTCCATTTTCCCTTCACTTCATATCAATGGATTTTTGTAAAAGTTTTTACAATTGCGAAGATTTTATTATACAGATTTCTTGTGTGCACTTGAACCAGAAAAATATTTTTCACAAATTGAAATATGGATATACAGTGTGTATATCTAAGATAAGAACGTACACTTTAAATTAAGTGAGTTCCTTTTAAGTCATTTGTTTATTATATTAAAATGTGACGTGATCTACTATACCATAACATTGAAATTGAAATTAAGAAATAATAATTAATTTTATCGTGGGCTATATTTGAAGCTCGATATCAATAATAATAAAAAAGACTTTGGTTGGGACCGGGCGATGGTATATAAAGGCTCATATTCTCCGCAATGGCTGGGTTTTTGTAAAAGTTTTTTTTTAATTGCGAAGTTTTCTTTATCTAGGTTGCTTGTGAGAACTTAAACCAGATGCGCGCATAGAAAAATATATTTCACAACTTAAAATCTGGTCTACGATAAAAGAGATACGAAGACGGTAAAATTTGATAAAAGTCGCAATATTTAAAGTTTAAGTTAAGTAAGTTCCTTTTAAATAATTTGTTTATTGCATTGAAATGTGAAATGTGTTCTACTTATTTAGCTACCATTTCATCTTTTGTTGTGAAATTGTAGTAAAAGCCTTTTTTAATTAACTGAGCAAAAAATATTTTTTTTGGGGCCCGACCTCAGTAATAATAAAAAGGACTTTGTTTGAGACCGAGGCCACTTGGTACGAAAGCTCATCGCTGGGTTTTTGTAAAGATTTTTTTGAATTAATTATTGTTGAGTAAAAAATTAGAAAAAAGAGATGTAAATCTAATTAGATAGTTACTTTTAATAAATTATTATTTTAATTGTTAACTCGAGAACTTTTTTTAATTAATGGTCAGCACTAAGAAGCTAGTACCAACAGAACGATCAATGTAGAAGTTTCGTTTCACAAATTGATGAAATTGGACCAATCACGGGGTCGACAAAAAACGAGCGACATGAAAATTCCTTTTTATTGGGTCTCGCCATTTTCTCGTGATTTTTTTTCTCTCCGTCCCTAATCTGCACGTAATTTGTTTCTTTTCTACGGCTTCAATGAACTCGCACGGAAACAAGAAAATTACGTTCGTCTTTTAGTTGCCGAAGTCCGTCGGGACCGAAAATTTCGAATTTAATAAAAAGTTTTCTCATCCACTTTGCCGTGCAGAGAGTAATTGGGGGATACTAAAACAATTAAAGTAGAATCCGACCGAAAATATTTCGTAGAAAATTAACGAGGCGGAAAAACTTTCGCTACCCGAGAAAAATATATATATACATATACACGGTCACAACTTACGGTGACAACCACGAACAAAACACAGAACACTGAAACCAATTTCCCGGCCATCATGAACTTGAGTTAATGTTCTGCGAGTACCGAAAATGGGACGACTGAGGAAGATTTCAGGAAAAAGTTGAGTTTTTATCTGAAATCTCGTTTCCTTTTGCGGGTAGGACGGGATTTAACTAATTGTCGATGTAGAACGTTTAAGGGGGAATCATCAATAATTATCGACAGGCAATCGATGATAATGCATACATCAGTTTAATAAACGTTTAGTACGCTAGCATTAGGAACGTATTGTTAAAAAAATAATCTACATGCCATGGTTTGATACGTGAGGTAGGAAAAGGTACCATCATGGTACGTGGGAAGTGACCAATATCGCTAGATCACCAGATAACGATGTGTAAATAGTATCGTCAAGTACACATATATAAATAATTTATGCAAATGATCAAGACATCATCATTATCATCATATCATATCATTAAATTAGCCCAAACCCTCAGAACAATGGTGTTTTCTATAACAGGTTCGACATGTTTGACATAATTTAGTAAAATAAAAAAAAATGGAATGAAAGAAATTACTAATTATTATTACTAATTACGAATTACGAATATAACTACGAAAGTGAAGTAGCGACACTTGAAGCAGTTCGTACATTACTTTTTGTTTAAAGTATACAGGGTGGCTTCAAAAAGCGGGAAAAAAAATCTTTTTTTTAACACATTACTTTTGATCGTGTTTGAATTCGCTTTAAAATTCTTCGACCTTTTTGTTAATTATAATACATACCTAAACATAATGGTGTTTCCAATATTTTTTAATTTCTTTAAAAAAATACTAGTTGCAAAATATTTGATATTAGCGTTATTCGATTAGGATGCAAAATACATATGCAGCGGAATTCAAAATAAGCAAATATATTAGGATCCATTTAAATTGAAAAATCTCATTTTTTCTAGAGGAGTTTGGGAATTTTTAAATATTCATTACATTACATCAGTAGAGATGCATTATAATTAACAAAAAAGTTGAAAAATTATGAAAGGAATTCAAAACACAATCAAAAATAGGGTGTTTATAATTATAAATTTTGCGTTTCGCATTTTCTCATAAATTCGAAACCAAGAGATAATAAACTTTTAGTAGTATTTAGTAGTATTTGTACTTCTTGTTTTTCTGTTTAAATAACATAAATTTGGTTTTACGAACATCGAACTCTAAGTTATTAAACAATAACCAATTGGTGTACAGCTTCATATCAGCATGCACAATGTTGTCGATATGTTTTACATTGCCAAAACTATACGCAAGTATTTGAGAACCAAACCAACGTTTTTCAGACTAAGCATATATAGGGAGTAAAATAGTGGGCCTAGAACCGAGCCTTGTGGCACCCCAACATTACAACCCTCCGTACGACCGATGTTTGTACCTTTTCTTACATACTGTACTCTATCAGACAAATAAGAAACTAACCATATCAAAAGCCTTTTTAACATTTGTAACCCCTGATATTAGTAAGCTATCTAGTTCTCTGATTCAGTTGCAACATTATTTGCAAAATCGACGAAGGCGCTTTGGGTACCACTGTCTTTAATAAACTCATACTGAAATTCATCGAAACCGTCAAAAACAAAGCTTCTGAAAATAGCATAATATTTACAAGTGCAGATAAAGGGAAGACAGTCGTAGCCATCGATCTCCCAGAATATATTTCAAGAACCAACAATTTTCTTAAACGAGAACTTTTTCAATGTATCAAACACAATCCTACCGAGTTATAATAAAGTCAAGTCAAGGAAGTAATTACTAACTCCACACTATTTAGTGACAAAGACAAGCATTTATTAACAATTATGAATCCACAACTGCCGAAATAATATTCTTTAGTTAAGTTATATAAACAAAATATGCCCATTAGACCAGTCGTGTCTTATGTAACAACTAGAGCAGTTAAAATTTTAACAAAATTAGTAAATATTTTAAAGTTCCACACAGATTGTAAACCAAAATTTGCAACAAAAAATCCTTTTGAATAATCAACAAAATTAAAGATATCAAAATCCCTTCTAACGCACCGCTATTGTCTTTTGATGTACAAAACTTATTTCCCAGTATTCCACGTATGGATGTGATAAATTTAGTGGATTTCACCCTCACTCGGAAACAGGTTAACCCGTTGGTGAAACAAGATTTATTAGATTTATTTTAGTATTTTTTATGGACCGTTTTACATCTCTAAGGAAGTTTTGATTATGGGAAACTCACTTACTCCTTTGTTAGCCGAGATTTTTATGGATAATTTGGAAAATATCATACTAGAACATCCTTTAAGTAAAAGTTTTTTATGGTGGTATAGATACGTGGATGATGTTTTTGCTTGCTTAATACATAAAAATAACTCTATCAATTTTTTAGACTTAACTTTTACGAAAACGCAAAACAAATTAGATTTTTCCATTTACCATAAACCTTCACACACGCACACAGTCATACATAGCAACTCAAACCACCGTAATAAACACAAAATGGCTGCTTTTGACTCTTTTATACGCAGACTCCTTAATACGCCACTCTCAACAGAAAATTACAAAGAACTTAACATCATTAAACAAATTGCACTGAACAACGGCTACAATCCGTCAATTATCGACAAAATTATAAATAAAAAACATATCCAGACAGCAGTATACTCTATTTATCCGAAACCTAATACAGAATACGAACAATTTAAAACAATTACATATATAGGACAACCCAATGAAAAAGTTTCAAAACATTTGTCAAAATGTGGTTTAAAAATAGCTAACCACAAAATAGGAAAATTTTTAAAAAACAATAGAACGAAGTGTCCAAAATCTCAAAAATCAAGAAACGCATTAACGAATATAAAAGACCGTTTAAAAACAATAGCCTAGATTCTAATTATGCTACAGACTTAAACATAGGAAAACACATTTTTGACGACAATTTTGATATTTTTCATACAGCTATAAAATGTAGAAAATTAAATTTATGTATTACTTAACGATCAATTAGATTTAAATACATAAAAACATACCAAACATCTTACGAATAAGGAAATCTTTTTACTTACATTTTTAATACAAAATAATTTTTACCACATTCCATTTTATTTATTTTTTTTTAAATATGATTAAATATAAATTAATAATATATAATAATAATAAACTGAAAAATATGTATTTAAAACTTCATTAGTACCAAAATATTTATATTTCAATTTTAATTTTCTTTTACCAAAACAAATTAATTATACATAAAAACATTATATTCAACAGTTTAGTCACGAGCGGAGCGCAGCGGAGCGAGTGTCTAAAAAAACATACCAAAAATCTTACAAATAAGGAAATCTTTTTACTTACATTTTTAATACAAAATAATTTTTGCCCACATTTCATTTTATTTATTTTTTTTAAATATAATTAAATATAAATTAATAATATATAATAATAATAAACTCAAAAATATGTATTTAAAACTTCATTAGTACCAAAAAATTTTTATTTCAATTTTAATTTTCTTTACCAGAACAAATTAATTATATATAAAAACATTATATTGAACAGTTTAGTCCCGAGCGGAGCGCAGCGGAGCGAGTGTCTAAAAAAACATACCAAACATCTTACGAATAAGGAAATCTTTTTACTTACATTTTTAACACAAAATAATTTTTGCCACATTTCATTTTATTTATTTTTTTTTTAATATAATTAGATATAAATTAATAATATATAATAATAATAAACTCAAAAATATGTATTTCAAACTTCATTAGTACCAAAAAATTTTTATTTAATTTTTAATTTTCTTTTACCAAAACAAATTAATTATATATAAAAACATTATATTCAAAAGTTTAGTCACGAGCGGAGCGCAGCGGAGCGAGTGTCTAAAAAAACATATGGTTAAAATATATTTAATTAACGTATATTTCCATTTACATCTCATTTTCAGTTTTATTTAATTTCATTAAATATAAATTAATTAAATCTAAAAATATTATTTCAAACAATTTAATCACGACCGGAGCGCAGTAGAGCGAGTATTTAAAAAAAAAAGATAAATTGATTGTTTATATAAAAATATAATTTCTTTGTGAAAACAATCTATTTATGAAAATGTTCTCTCTATGAAGACGGTCCATATACAAAGACGGTCCGTATACGAAGACGGTCCGTATAGCGAGGCGATCTGTATATGGAGGTGGTCTGTATATGGAGGCGGTCTGTATATGGAGGCGGTCCGTATATGGAGGCGGTCTGTATATGGAGGCGGTCTGTACGTTATTAAACTTCAATTCTCATAACAACATAAATTAAGGTTTTATTGTCATTTTTTGGTATATATAGTACCAGAAACAATTGTCATGTGAATAGATATAATTTCGTGAAAATCAAGTAAAAGCCCCCTCAGTTCAATCATCAATTTTCCTATTGTTTACAACTATAGATTCTATAATATCAACATTATTTTTGTTTTTCATTAAACTGTATATATATATATATATATATATATATATATATATATATATATATATATATATATATATATATATATATATATATATATATATATATATATATATATATATATATATATATATATATATATATATATATATATATGTATAAATCGCCATTGTTTTTGAACGTCTTGTATTCCCCGACAAGCATGCGGCTGTCGGGAAGTTTCTTATTGATTAGGTATGCGTATTTTCTCCTTTTTTATTAATTCCAATAACTTCTTCCTCTTTCACTCGCTGCTTTTAGGGAATTGGATAACTTCTACATACTCCGTTTCAGTTTTACATATAATGAGGGAATGTATTGCAACTTAGAATGATGTGATTGTATTTTCTCTTTTCAGACTAAATAATGCTTTAAACTTATTGCGGTCTACACTTTCAACTTCATACACTTCTTTTGATGATTTTACCTTTTCGGTTATGATCAGGCAAAGTATCGTCTTTAATAGGTATATGGGGAACATTTGACGTTTGCTTGCTAACCTATTAAGTAGTCTATAATAGCCCTGGAGTTGCAGGATATTCCACTATCATGATCAGTTTCAATAGTATTTTTAATAAAATATTGATAAACTTAACATCAAAAGGCTCAAACTTATAGTCGTAACTA